ACTGGCTAGTAAACAAGTCTTCCAATGAATGTTTTAGCAAGATTTAAGTGCTCCTTCAAGGCACACAAATCAGAAAGTCCACTCCAGAAAATACAGATACACTTTTCTATTTAATTTAAATGGCAGTCTATAATAACTGTTTTTTTTGAGGCTGTCTTTACTGGAATCTGTGTGAAATAACCCATGTTCTCTAATAGAAACAGAGAAAGTATCCTGATATCCTTGAAAAGAAAATCCCTCAGCTGCGTAGGAAAGCAGGATAGACAGAGCTAAGCATTTTGGACCTTGTGGTCTAGTGCTGTATAGCTTCCACTTTGGCTATCACAGGGTAGCATTAGAATCTTTCATGAGGAAGGTTGTGTTTGTGTGTGGGGAGCAGCAGGTGGGCAATATGCCAAAGAAAATACCATCTGTTAACTACTATACTGGAAGATGAAGTAAGGTAAGACTTTCTAGTGAACAAACTAATGTAAACACATCTAAAGTTGAAAATCTGCATCTTAAGTAAGATCATCTAATGTACTCATATTAAAACTATTACACTGGAGCTGGGCGTGGTGGCACACAACTTTAGTTCCAGCACATGGGAGGCAGAGGCAGGTGGAGTTCAAGGCCAGCCTGGTCTACACAGTGAGTTCCAGCCAGCTGTCTCAAAAAAACAAAAACAAGCCCCCCCACCCCCCAAAAAACCCAATTACACTGGAAATGGTTTCTTGTTATAAAGGTTTAATTTTACTTAATAATGTGATTAAAATTTTTTTATTCCACCCCCCGATTAAAAATTTTTTTAACTAAAAGAGCTGACAATTTTATTTTTACATTTCACAATACAAATAAAAACTGCAGTTTTTTTGTCCCCCTTCTCCCCTCCAATACTGTTGTCTCTGCTAGGAAAGGGGCAAAGTCTTCCTTGTCATACTGCTAGAAAACAGTCAAATGCAGCACCATCATCTCCTGGTGAAACAGAACACAGGATACAAAACTGACAGAACCCTCTGCTCTTACGTATCCATCATGGGGCAAGTGGGAGGTCTCATCACTGGAGGCCCAGGTATCACAGGCATATGGCCTTCTATGGGTAACCTCATTCTAGGACCAGGTCACATAGGCATCATCTCAGGAGGAAGGGGGCCCATCACTGGCATCATGGGAGGGCCTCCCATGTGGGGTGCTGGCATCATACCAGGGTGAGGAGGAGCCGGGAGACTTGGGGGGAGGTGGAATCATGGCCCTTGCAGGAGGAGGAACAGAGAATGGAGCTAGAAGTATCTTTCCTTGTTGAAATGCAGCCGCTGTTCTGTCAGTCAGTGCCCTTCCACCCATGTCTGACAGCGGTCGTGCACATTCTCTGTGTGCTTCCCACCACTGCAGTGTCGTTCTCACAGATGGAGAGTCATGGGGAGGAGACATAGCGCAGTAGTCACAATAAAACTTGGGCATGTTGCTCTGCAGACCACTGACTACCAAAAATTATTTTTTAATTTTATGTGTATGAGTGTTTTGCCTGCATGTATGTAGGTATAGCATGTGTATGCAATGTCCCAGAGGCCAAAAGAGGATGTTGGATCCGCTGGAATTGGAGTTATAGACGATAACCACACTCAGATCTTCCGCAAGAGCAGCTAGTGCTTATAACCACTGAGTCATCTACCTAGCCCCTACAGTGATTTCTAAAAACAAAAACAAACAAACAAAAAAACCCTTTAAAAACCGTGGGAGGGAGGGAGCTGAACAGATGGCTCAGTGGTTAAGAGCACTTGGAGAGGACCCAAGTATGGTTCCCAGCATTCACATGGCAGCTAACAATTACCTGAAATTCCCATTCCAGGGTATCTGACGCTCTCTTCTGGTCTCCCTGGGCATTGCCTGAAACAGGTGCACTTATATACATGCAGGCAAAATACTTATACATATACACTAAATAAAAATAAAGAAAAAAAAAAAAGCCCTGTGGGAGGGGAAGATGGGTGGCTTAAAAAGAAAGTGGGAGGGCCAGTGAGCTGGCACAGTGGGAAAAAGCACTTGCCCTACAAACCTGATGACTGGAGTTCGATTCCTAGAAGCCACAGTGGAAGGTGAAAACAGACTCCTGAAAGTTGCCCGCAAGTACATACTAACAATGGATTAACAAGTATAAAGAAATGTGGGAAATGTATACAGTAGTAAATTTGTTAAAAGTCACAGAAGTATTTCCTTTCTCTTGAGGAAAATGAATTTATTAGACTATCCAGCAGGCTTTGTAATCTAAATTACAATAAAATTTTGCTGAAACAAAATTTTTAAAGAAAACAGCAAATGGGGCTGGAGAGATGCCTCAGTGGTTAAGAGCCCTGGCTGCTCTTGCAGAAAACTAGGGTTTGATTCCCACCACCCACATGGCAGCCAACAACAATCTATAATTCCAGTTCCAGGGGATCTGATGCCCCTTTCTGACCTCTGCAAGCACTGCATGACACAGGTGTACTTATATACATGTGCGCAATACACTCACACACATAAAAATAGTAACATATTTTAAAGAGAACAACAGATGCCGGAAAAGATGGAAACAACAAATGCTAGAAACCCTCACACACTGTTGGTGGGAATGTGAACTAGTACAGTCACTATTAAAATCATAAGGACGTTTTCTCAAAAAACTTTGAGCTATACTATATGACCAGGGATTTGCCCAAAGGACTCGTATCAACCAATGTATCATATAGACAATTGTACATCAATGTTTACTGCAGCACTATCTGCAATAGCTAAGTTATAGAGGCAGCCTATGTATCTAACAGAGGAATAGAAAATATGGTATGAATACACAATGGAATTGTTTTCAGTCACAGAGAACAACAAAGTCATGTCATCTGTAGAAAAATGGATGGAACTGGAGATAATGAATTAAGCCAATGTCAGAAAGACAAAAACTGCAAGTTTCCTTTCATTTCTGGTCCCTAGATTTTATATTGATACATAAATCATGTATGTATATGCATGAAAGTAAAAGGCAAACTGTCTGGGGAACTAATATGAGGGAGGGGGTGGTAAGGAGAGGACAGGAAGATATGAAGACAAAATACACTCAACATACCAGGCGTGGTGGTGCATGTCTTTAGTCCCAGCACTTGGGAGGCAGAGGCAGGTGGATCTCTGTGAGTTCAAGTCCAGCCTGGTGTACACAGTTTCAGGCCAGCTGGGACTCTGTCTCAAAAAGACCAACTGTCCATAACTCCAATTCCAGGGGATCCAATAGCCTCTTCTGTTTTCTGCAGGCATTGCATGACATGGGTACACTTACCTACACGCAGGCATTACATACACATAAAATAAAAATAATAAATAAAATAATAAAAAAAAGATGATTTCTCAGGCACCCAATTTAGATGTGTAAGATGGATGGGTTTTTCATTTGCTAATAGAGGATATTAAGTGGGGGTGGGGGTGTATAAGATGATGGTGGAGATGGGAGAGGGAGTCCGAATATGAGCAAAATACACTGTGTGAAATTCTTGAATCAATAAAAACAAAAGAATTACAGGTTTCACAGTGTAAATCATCAATTTTAATACTGTCACATAAAAATGTAGTTTCTAGAGGGCTAGAAGCAGAGAGAGCCAGATGTCAAATGAACCGTTTTGAACTATACACCTGGAAAGAGGTGCCATATAGGCTAAGAGACAGAAGTGAAAACACTGTGGTTTTTCAAACACGTGCCCATTCTAAACACACAAAGACAGACTCTCTGAAACATTTCAAGTACTTCTCACATGTGTCAATCATGTAACTTACTAGATGGTACTACCAAGAACTTAATCATTTAACGATGATACCGAGTCTCTACGGAACTAGAGGAAATCTCAGGTAGTCATATGTAATTCTTTCTTTTTTTTTTTTTTTGGTCTTTTTGAGATAGGGTCTCCCTGTAGCCCCAGCTGGCCTGGAACTTGCTATGTAGGACAGGCTAGCCTCGGCCTCACAGAGATCAGCTTGTTTCTGCCACCTGAGTGATGGGATTAAAGGTGTGCACCATCATGCTCAGCATTATAATTCTTTTAATATCATCATGCTGACAAGTACTTAGGGACTGAAAGTATAAAACCATGCTCAAATCATGCCAAACCCAACTTACACATAATGCTCGGTTTAATAAAATTCTTAGGTCAAAAGTTGATAATTATATAATATCCATTTTATTACACTATGTTTTCAAAGTATGTAGAAGAAAAAAAAGTAGGTGTGTTGTATACATTTCAAATAAATATTTCTTTCCTTTAGTCACAAACACCCACAACAACAGACTGAATCAGGGATAGGTGCAGATATCTGGAACTGAAAAGAATAGTAACTTCATGTCAATAAGGGCATTTTCTTAGTTGCTAGGACACGACAGTGAAAAAAACAAGCTTCTTGGCTTTTCATAGAACTTACACAGGCCAGCCAGGGCTATATAAGTGAGACCCTGTCTCAAAAACAAAACAAAACAAAAGTCCTAAAAGAAAACACAAAAGAATGTAACAAACTTAAGACTGTGTATGTTTCCAGGGACAAAAGGGTCATAAATGAACAATATGGCATATCAGAAAGTGTTGTATAATTTAGAGAATAACACAAAAGTTGAGAGGATAGAGAATATATTGTTTATATAAAACACTGTTGGTCAGGGAAGACCTCAGTGTTAAGATCAGAGCAACAGTCTAAAAGAGGAATCTCAGTTTGTCCTATAATGGCAAAACTTGGCCACCAACATCAGTTGGAATAATAATTATAGCCCCAAGTAAACTTGTAACCAATCTATACCTAGCAAGCACATATAATCAAAATTCTTATTGCTGCTTATCGTTCTCATTCTACATGCAATACAAGTTTCATGTAAACATTCTGCTATAGTTTGGATCTGAAATGATCCCCAATGCTACAATAAAAGTTTTGGTCCATAGCCTGTGACATTATTGGAAGGTGGTGGACCCTTCATGAAGTAAAGCATACTTAGAGGAAGTTAGACATTGAGGGCTTGCCTTTGAAGACTGTTAGGACCTCTACCCCTTCCTCTTTTGCTTCTTGACTTCTTTTGCCAAGGCTCCCAGCACAGTGTGCTGCCTGTGTCCCAACAGGAATGGTACAACTATCAACCACATCTGAGGAAGCGGTTCTTGCAGGTATTTGTAAGTGATAGAAAACTCTTAACAACTTTAACCTTTTAAATCCTTTTCAATCTAAGAAAGGTTTATACATAAGAACATATATAAAGACAAGCAATCTGTTCTTACATTTTCTGAAGAACCTGGGCCATCACAACCCCATTCGTTAAATCTTCCACGGTCTGGCATGGTGTATCCACGTTAAAGGTCTGGATCTGAAGGGGGGAAAAAATCCCATGGTTAACTATGTGAAGATTCCTCAGGCTTGGAAAGGGGAGCAGCAAGTGATTATCTTATATTGGGGACTGGGATAAAATTTTAAAAGGATAACCAGAAATTTCTTCCAATATAAGTAGAATAAAAATTGTGGTAGATATTGGATGATTTCTCATCATACATAACACTTACACGCGATCAGTCTAAGAAAATGTTGGTTCCTTCAGCCCATTTACTGGTGATTAACTCAGGAATAAAAGGGCAATGGGAACCAAAGAGATACCTATTGGAGAGTAGGGTAAATTTTTATTATTAGTGTGAATGTCTGTCTATGCCACATAAATTACTGATATCAATCATCTTATAACTACTAAAAAAAATAAATCTTTTTAAAAAATGTTACTGTGTGTCTAAGTTCAGGTACACACATGCCATGGCACATATTGGAGGTCAAAGGATAACTTGTGGGAGTCAGTTCTCTCCTTCTGGGTCTCAAGATTGGGTATTCAGTTTATTTTAATTTAAAATAAATACCGATTCACAACTAACTTAGTATTGGTTAAGAGGACATGGCTCAGAAATTTAAGAAATGAGCCTGAGCAGGGCCTAGTGGCACACACCTGTAATTCTAGCACTTGGAAGGTGGGGGGCCACGTGAGACGAAAACAGAAAAAGAGAAGCCAACAATGCTACCCAGCAGTTCAATCTGGGTTTAGAATAAATCACTGAGAACAGACAAAGACCATCCTCATACAGATCTTTTAGTCTGGTGAAAGTATTACGGAAGTATGGACAAAAATTGTAAGTGAAATGCAATACAACTGGGATGAAAAGAAGCCTTGAAACTATAGGAAGAAATCGAAGAGAGGAATGCAAAAACATGAAAGATGGAACTAAACAGAGAAGCGTTACTACACAAGACACTTATGTCATATGAGAACTTTATTCTAAGAGCAATGGGTAGTAAACAAAGGATTAGACGCAAGAAACTGAGACCATGAGATTTAAATTGTACACAGAACACAGTGGAAGTATGAGAAAAGACTGGAGGCCAAGAGGCAGGAAGACTTGTTTTGGGATGAAACTAAACAAGGTAGCAATGGACATAGTGAGATTAACACTCAGGTGACTTTTTAATGTACTGGGTTAGGAAAAAATTGCCAGGTTAAAGTACACATACATTTTAAAGCTTTAAAATAAACATTGCCAAATATATTATGAAGCATTTTCCTTTTACTAAAAATGGGACTATCTCTACTTATCTGTACTACATATAATCCATAAATGGCAGCATCTCATTGTATCCCAGTTGGCTTCAATTCACTATGTATCAAAGGTCATAATGGACTTGAGATCCTCATTCTCCTGCCTCTACCTCCCAAGTGCTGGTATTATAGGCATGTGTTACCACACCCACTGACCATCCATATAAACATTAAAAAAAAGAATTATTAACAGTATAGTCATAATGTCATATTTTACAAAGGGAGAGTCTTGGGTAATGATGGTTATGGTACCAGAGGCTGAGGGAATCATGTTACAGGTCCTCATAGAAAACAGTTTTTAATTAGGCAAATATTTGGGCGATAAGAAGGTACCCAACTTACATATGTGCAGAGCTTTGATAAAAAGTTAGCAAATGAGCTAGGCACTGTAGCATCACTTACAGTCCAGCTATACAGGAAGCTGAAGCAAAAGGATTGCAAACTCAAGGCTAGCCTAGGCAATACAGCGAGAACTCATGGGAAAAAAGAGAGGACTAAAAATGAATAAATGGAACAAGTAAATATCATCTGCAGGTCTGATCTGAACTTGATCTGGAATTGCCTCTTCACTGGTAATGTGGAAATTTAAAAAAGCACCTGCTAAATTAATGGTACATTAAAAAAAACTTTTTGTAGGTTCATATAGAAGAAAAGAAGCAACAGTGACAACCATATATTATCTCATCACTTGGCACAGCATCTCAGAATAAGGGGTTACTGAATAATTTCACAGTGAACAGTGCTTTGAATGTAATCAAATCTAATCCCTAGTTTTACTTCTAATTTATCACACAAGCTTGGATATTTCACTTCAGCTCTTTTAATGTAAGTTTTCATGTAAAGGTCGGGGAAGAATATTATGTAGTCTCCAAAACTAAGTGTACATGATAATCATTTGGGAAGTTTTCATTTGAAAATACGTATTTCTTAGCTCTACCCACTGAATCAGAATCTCTCTATATATGTGAATAGGAAGCTAGAATTTTATTTTAACTTTCTTTGGTGCTGGATACTGAGCCCAGGGCCTTGCTAAGGCAAACATTCTACCACTGAGCTATATCCCTAGCCTTTTAAAATTTTTGAAACAGAGCCTTGCTAAGTTATTCAGGCCAGCTTTGAACTCACTCTGTAGCTCATAAAGACCGAACTTGCTATCCTCCGTCTCAGCCTCTTGAGTAGCTGAGACTATAGGCTTGTGCAAATTATGTTCAGCTCTGGAAGTCCATTTTTAACAAATGCACCAAGTAACTATAATGTATCTGGGACCTGGTTTTTAGCATTTAGAATGGTTTGTTTTAAAGCACTGCCAACTTTAAGCTCTTACCCTACTACTCCCAAGCTGGGAACATAACTCAGGGTCTTGCTCATGTGAGGCAAGAGCTCTACTACTGAGCCACAGCCCCAACTCAGGATTACAAAATTGCCCCTGGTCAACCAGAAGGAACAAGTCAGTAAAGCAAGGAATTTCATTTATTTCCTATTTATTTATTTATTTATTGTTTTTTTTTTGTTTTTTTTTTTTGAGACAGGGTCTCCCTGTAGCCCCATCTGGCCTCTGCCTCCCGAATGCTGGGACTAAAGGCATGGTACCATGCTCTGTTTATTTATTTTTTTGAGACTGAGTCTTATGTATCCTAGGCTGGCCTAGGACTATTTACAGCTAAAAACGAGCATAAACTTCCTGATCCTCTTGCATCCACTCCCAATTACTGGGATTAGAGTAGGCTTCTGAGGTTATGGACAAGCATCACCATGATCAATTTACATGATGCTAACCCAGGGCTTTCTGCACATTAGGCAAACACTCAACCAAATGAGCAACATCCTCAGCACAAAGCAAGTAATTAACACAATCCAGTTTTTGCCAGGATTCAAGGAAAGCTAAAATTTTATCTTTAAAAATATTTTTTAAGTTTTATTTATATTTATTTATTTTTATGTGTACGAGTGTTTTTCCTACATATGTGTAAGCATACCTGTGACCCACAATGCTTTCAGAGGCAAGAAGAGAGCGTTGGATGCCCTGGAACTAGAGTTAGGGATAGCTGATAGCTGTCATGTAGGTGCTGGGAACTGAACCCAGGTCCTCTGCAAGAGCAGCCAGTGCTCTTAACCACTGAGCCATCTCTCCAGCCCATTTGTTTTGATTTTTAAAATGTAGTGTCTAAACAATTATTTTCTGTTTAAGCCCTTGAGATACATAGGTACTAATGAGAGCTTGAGAGCATTCACCTCTGCCTTCAGAACTGACAAAGATCTCAGAAAATTTACCATTATCACATTTCTTTGTGTGAACATATCCTTGTAACTAATGGTGATAACACAGCCTTGTGGCTATATTAAAAACAAATGAATTGTACAATTTAAAAGGATGAAGTTGGGCAAGATGATGGCATTTATCTATAATCTTAGCACTTAGGATGTTGAGGCAAGATCGAGTTCAAGGCCAAAATAAATGAATAAAGATGAAGTTTATAGTATGTGAATTACAGTCCAATTAAGAAAAAACACATTTATCAACATATCAGCTTTCTGAGTTGGGACACTTCAGGATAGTAATACATAAAAAAGTAGGATAACTGCACTTAACTATTTAAGGCACATATTCTACCTGAAGTGTCACAGCCTTTCTTGTGATTTCAAGCAGATTTAAGAGCACAATTCAACATTTAACTTCCCCTTCCTCTCCTCCTACAAAAGCCAGTGAAGGGTAGAGTGTAAGAACATGTGGAATTAGCACCTCTAGGGCAGTGGTTCTCTACCAGGGGTGATTTTGCTCCCTAGGAGACTGCAGAGTTTAGAACAGTGAGATGAATGCTATTAACATTATGTGAATAGAGGCAGGCAATGCTGCTATTAAATGACCTGTAATGAACTGGGCGGTGCCCCTAACAATTATCCAGTCCCAAATATCAAATGGCAGTAAAGTTAAAACCCTGCTCTAGAGCAGTGGTTCTTAAATGTGGTCTTGAGGTTAACTACACATCAGCTTTTGGGATTATGTCAGAAAGGCAAAATCTCAGATCCTACTTCAGACCTAGAACTCTAGCTCTGGGGTCTAATAATCTGGTTTGGTATGCCTTCTAGATGATGCTGTTCAATGCTAATGTATGAGAACCACTGCTTGAGTCAGCATTAATGCAATGGAAACAGAAGTATGACATGGAAAAGAAAGGAGGAAGGAAAGAAAAACCCAGGATTTGGACACAGGCAGGCTGAAGCAGGAATCTGTATCCTGACCCGCCATGCTATACAGAACCCCCAAGAACTTTAAATATCTATATCAGAAGTTTATTTTCCCATTACAAGATCTATTTTGTTGGTAGGAAGAGAAGGGAGAATAGAATGGGAGAGTTTCAAACACTAGTTGTATTTCATAGGCTCCTAAATAAGTGATATGAAAATAAGGATAGATCAAGATTGGTGTGTTTCCCAGAAGTGAACGACAACTATGATTCTTTCGTGTCATTAACTGATAGCATTCTAGATTCCTTCTTGTATTCCAATTTCTGAAACCTGAGAAGCGGGCTGGAATTATACACAGATCAGTGGTAAGAGTACATGCTAACCATGCACAAGGGCCTAGATTTAATTTTTAGCATTATAAAACAAACTAGAGCTTACATGAAATCTTTGCATTGTGATTGATGTAGAGGTTCAAGAAACTGAGCACAGATCCACAGAACACAGCCTCTGGCCACTGCTCCTGGTGACCCACCAAAACCTGAAGGTACGACCCTACTGTTGAAGACACCACATATTTGAGTCATAGGACATAGAGAAATCAAGCTGGTACTCTAGCTTTCATAGTACTGAAATGTGCTACACAGGCTGCTGGAGGTGAAAAGTAAGCAACAGTCTTACCCAGCTGTGAATCCCAAGAGCTGCAATCAGGAGCAGCCTGGCAAGATACGCAGCCAGTGCAAGAGTGGCATGAATGTTACGGCAGCAACCAACTACAGAGAATTTGTGCTTGGCACTTTTAACTGGGTCAAGAACCCATGGCTGGGTATGTGATAGGCCCTAGGAGAGAAAGAACCTACAACTATTATTTTGCTAAATGGACATAGTATCAAACCCCCCTCTAAATACTTACTTTATACCCATAGATTAGTGCAGCTTTCAACCCTCATCAGAGCAGCTTACTTTCTGCAGTAGACAACAATTAATACTATGACTCACAACTGGTCAGGGTACAGAGAATAAGAGGCTGTGGAACGCTTAGCCCTAAATCGGAACTCTGTACCACGCCTCCTCCTCTCAAAGCTCAGAGATCACCTCAGAAGAGTGAGCAGTAAGATGAAGAGCTGGAGGTTGAGGACTGCTGAACATACAAACTCACAGTGGCTATGGCTGCATGCATAAGATCAAACCAGGCAAAAATCTAGCATAAATGGGGAGAAGCCTGCAAAGCTCCATCCATAGCTTAGGAGCTCTTGGCAGGTGATCACTGCCTGGGGAGGAAGAACTAGTTTTCTCAGGCTTGTAGCCCCTAGTAGAGCTCCAGTCAACTGTCCTGTTCCCATACACACACTGGCAGCACTAAATGGACTCAGTGGGTTAAAAAAAAAGAAACAGAAAAATTGTGGTTAAGGGTACCTACTTCTTTTCCAGAGGACCCAAATTTGGTTCCCACCTCCCATGTAAGGCATCTCAAAACTGCCTGTAACTCCAGACCCACAGAGAGCTGAAGCCTCTGACCTCTGCTGGCACCTGTCCTCATGTGCACTTCAACGGATATGAATAATTTAGAAATAAACAAATCTAAATAAAGAGTATGTGCAGCTGGAAGGAGCAAGGATGGTCAGAGCATGACAAGAGTCGAAGGGGAGGAGTGAGGGTAGATCTGACCAAAACACATTTATATACGTAGGAAATTCTCAAACAATAAAAAAAAAAAATTGCGCTTGAGGTTGGTGAGATAACTCAACCAGTAAGGGCACTAGCCACCAAGTCTGAAGGCCTAAATTTAATCCCCAGCCCATACTGAGGAAGGAGAGAACGGACTCCTGTAAGTTATCCACTGACCTTCACAGGCCTGCCATGACAAACCTACACACACACACAAGTAAATGTTTAGAAAGTTGCAAAAAAATGGCAATTGTTAGAAAAAAACCAAACAAGCCAGCGAGATGGCTTAGTGGATAAAAGTGCTTGTACCAATGTGATGATCTATGGGGCAATTTTCCCCCCTATCAGGTAGGGATTCATTCTACTTCAGAGGGTAGAGAGAGGAGGTAGAGGAAAGTTTTAAGCACATCTTGCTGAACTTGCTTGCTGTACACACTGATTGGGCTTGGCTTAAGACATTTTCCATGTCTTTTCAAAAGTCTTCCTTTCTTATTTTTTGATTTATTTATCTCTATGTGTATGAGTGGTTTGCAATTCCCTTGGAGGCCAGAAGAGGGCATCGGATTCCAGGGAAATGGTGTTACGGACAGTTGTTAGATGTCATGTGGGTGCTGGGAACAGAACCCAGGTCCTCTGCAAGAGCAACCAGTGCTCTTAACTGCTGAGCCATCTCTCCAGTCCCCAAAAGCCTTTCTGTCTCAACAATAATTTGAAACTTGGCTCTAGAGCTGGTAGGTTCTCAGATACCATGATTTATCCAGGATTTAGGGAAACATGATACAGTTCCATAGGACTGAATTCTACTTAAAAGTTATCTCTTTATATCCCTGAAATTTTAAGTTTTATCCATTTCTAGTGCTCAAGCATTTCACATTTCTACATTTCCAAAATATACTACACATATCTCTCCTGTCAAAAACATGCTATGTGTTGAAAATAAACTTTTATTTGCTACTCAGGGCTCTAAGACTGATCTGTAATAACTGATCATGAGTGCTCTAGATGTAAACAAGGCTGCTGACTCACCAGACTAAAGCTCTCAGTTCTTGGATCTTCTCTGTCACTGACAGCTGCTTACATTTTGCCCAGTGTTGCAGTCACCTTGTAGCCTCTGGCATGCCCAAAACCATACAGCCAAGTTGGCTAGAACTTTACTTAAACCAGAATCAATTACTCTAAATGGGACTCTTCACTGGAGAGAAATGTATATATGTTCTCTTACATTTGGTTTTGGAATCATATTTGTTATTTATCTGGTCTGAAGATAAAAATGCTACTAGACTAAATGTATATACACATTCAGCTATCTCAAACACTGTTCATATTCATACTTATTCTTTTTGTAAGACCCACAAAGAACAAACCCAGTATTTAAACTCAACTTCATTTTGAAATATTTCGGTGAACAATGTTTTGAAAATAAACGCAAATCTTACAAACCATCCATTTTTGGGTGGATAATTCTGCAATTCTGTCACCAATGATGTCTAATCTTATCTTCTCCTGAAATGTTCCTTAACGAGGCTCCCAGTATTTCAAAAAGCCTGTAATACATTATAACCCTGTTCTCTTGCTGTAGCTAACATCGACTACCTATATGCTTTCTTGACATTGAATCTTATTCTAAATAGATTATTCTCAAATTATCTTGTTTTCTGAGATGTCCTCTAACTCCCCACTAGGACTTTTGTGTGTATTTTCATCAGGATTCTCACTCATGTAACTGCACCATCACCCAACTTTTTTGTTGATGCTGTTTTGAGTCAGGGTCTTGTTACTGGCCTAGGCTGGCTTTGAACACAAGCTCCTCCTGTCTCAACCTCCCTTAGTGCTGGGCTAAGGGAGACATTCTTTTTAAAAGACATTATTCAAATACATCAGTGTTTCTATGACTTTTCCAAATTTAGGATTCAGCCAGCTTCCTGGTCTCTGTACTTTTTTCTGGGGAGGCAGTAATTCTACTGACCAGCAAACAACTGAACATCCTCAGACCTCTGTTCACCTTGTCCTTCCACAGGATCAGGGAATGTAGGAATTCTTTATCTGTCCCTTGTCCAGCCAAACCTCAGCCTATTATGCAACCTACCAGCATCCTCTCTTCTAAAGCCCAGCAGGGAAGCTTATCTTCCTGCCTGAAGTCAGTGAGTTTCCTGGAGTATGCTAACTACATATTATTTTAAACAATCTTAAATTACAAGAATGATCGAATACCAAACCAAATCATCAAGTGTTACACTGTATATAGTCTATGTTTCACAGGACATAATTTTATTCATGACATACCAGATTATAAAAAACTTCAAGTCAGGTGTGGTGATGCATGCTTGTAGTTCCAGTACTTGGGAAGCTGAGGCAGGAAGATTGGGCTAAGAAGTGAGTTTGAGGTCAGCAAGGGCTACGTAGTTAAGATCCTATCAACCTCACCCACTCCCCCCCACTCTATTTTTATTACATTTATTACAACCAACCTAAGTTGACATTTCTCAAACTGCTTAGTAGTGTTTCTGCACAAAACAGTGATGTCTAGCTTCCAAAGATTTTAACTGTAACCCAAGGTACCACTCAATATAATTCCACTTGACACCTGCCATTTTACCTTAAAAAAATGAATAAAGGTCAGGAGGGTGTAGCTCCAGGTAGTATCTTTGCTTAGCATGCAGCTCCTGCCCAATCTCCAGCACTTACCCCCAATAAGCAAATCAAATGAACACAAACGCCTTAGTCGCCTTCAAATATTTGTGTTCTTCTAAAAAGGACGTTTTAATATTTTTAGCCGTAAGTAAAACGGATGCTCCCAAAGAGACACTAGGTTCAGCTTATGGTCTGCATACTCGTCTACCCACCAACAAGAATATGAAAATCTGAAACATGGGTGGCTGAACTGTCCAGCTCTTGAGAGGGGCTGCCTAAAGCCACGACTACTGACATTAAAATCCACTACATTTATTTTAAAACGTGATAACCTTGGCAACCATTTATTAACTTCAAATTAGAATCCCACGTCGCCTTACAAATATGTTTCAGTTCCATTACCAGTTCCCAAACACAGGCTTAAAACGCGCATCCTTCATCCCTTTTTTGGAGTACCAGTACTTGCTACCTAGCAGTCAACACCTTCTCCATCCAGGCTGCGGCCCTGGGGGCTTCTTCGCGGGTCCACCCACCCTTTGCGCACTCCTCCCAGGGCGCACGGCTCCATCCCCGCATCCTTCCTGCACGCCGACAACAAAGGCGAGCAGCGTCGTGACCGGGGGTCCCGAGTGCCTCTACCGGCCGCACCGGGGCGGAAGCCGGGAGCCAGCGCCTCGCCGCACAGGCCTAATTATGGGGTCGCCCGCACCCCATCATTACCCCACCCCGAGAGCAGCCAGCACCTCCGGCCGGCGGTGGCTCCCGGACCCTAGGCCCAGCCTGCTCCAGCCCCGCCGCTCCCCGCGGATATCGACCCGGCCCGGGTGTAGACGCGGCCGGCAACCGCGCTCCGCTCCGCCCGTCCCGAAGCCCGGATGTGACGGCAGGTCGCTCCGGCTGTCGGCCCCGCGACGGGCCCGGCGTCTCCCCGCGGCCACCACGTACCCAAGTGAGGAGGCTCTCGCACAGCTCCACCCGCTCCACCGACTCCGCGTGGAACATCTTCCCGTGGGGCCTCAGCGCCTCCCCAACCAGCCAGAAGCCGCGGACGCTCGGCCCCGGGGCGAGTCCAAGGGTCGGGCAGCCGACCGGCGTCTGGCGCAGCTTCTCTTCCGTCCGGCAGCTCCGGGGCCACGACGCTGGCAGCGGCTCCGCTCCGTCACCCGCGCCCCTCCTTCTCGCGCTCCGGTCCGCGCACCCGCCGCGCGCTCCCGGCGCCGCCCGCCCACGCCCTCCTGCGCGACCCGCGGCC